ATGACTGCTTCGCAATCCGACACGTAAACGATCGCTCCAGTGGTGGCCCACACCGCAAGCACAAGTGCCCGAAGCTCGCCTCTGAACACGGACTGCCTGAGGCCAGCGAGGGCTCCCGAAATGGAAACGACGAGGTCGACCACATGCTCGAGAGAGCGAAGCAGCACCACGCCAATCCCGACACGTCGGAACTTTGGACAATCCATATCTGGCCCGCCGCTGGCGTCGCCGAAAAGAAGCAATGGCCTGTCCTCGAGCCCTTGGCCAAGGAAGCCTGGGGCCAGCTCAGAGTCAGTGCCTACAACATGCCAAACCTCATCGGACGGCGGTGCTGGGACACTGGTCTACTCACGAGGGAGGAGGCCCCGAAACCAGAAGGCTGGCTCCACGCCCCCCTGCACCTCGGCCTCCACCACCATACCCGCTGTCTGGTCATAGACGGCGTCACCTGTGTTCTAACATCAGCGCCAAATCCGATGCTTCTCCGTGTCCAGCTCGACATGACACGAGGGCACTTACCAGAGCCTTGATACCGTGGGATCTCATCCTTCTTGCGCCCTCGGGGCCGCGTACCCCCAACAGCACACATGAGGAAAGTCTCAGGCAACTTGTGGCCGATGACGGGGACTTCCCCTAGCTGCTGCAAGAGGAGGCGGTCGGAGTCGCAGTCGGCTCCGTGCTCCAAACCTCCACCCAGTCGATGCTGGCTGGCAACTGCCCATGGCCTGGTAGCGAGTACTCCTTCGAAGTCACGTAAGAAGCCGTGGTGCGAATCCCGCGCCATGATGCTTGTGTACATGTGATCGTCGAACCTCCAATCGTCACCTGCAGCTGCATGGCCCGCGGGAACTGTCCACGCCGTGGCCTCAGGTACAGACCATCCAGACTCCACCAGGTGCATGATGACGGCCGAGATGGGTCCCCTGACCCACTTGGAGCGATGAACAGGCGGGACTGTCTCCAACTGATTGGCCATGGCGGTCCATGTACGTCGTGCACCAGCCTGGAGCTCTGGGTCATCTCGCCACGTGGGGAGACAGAGGTCCAGGCACTGGGGCGGTAGCTTGATGCCATGGTCCTGGCCTGGGGCTCGCAGCGCAAGCAGCGTGGTCAGACATGTGCCACGAGTCGGGGCGGCACACGCGAGCCCCAGACGGCGCCTCGCGAGGGCCATGCGCTGCCCAGAGGCCCCATGGAATTGGATCCCGTATGCCCCAGCGGCCTGAGCCCACTGAACTTCCACGCGTGCAGTCACACGATATCGGCGAGCAGTTCGAGCGAAACGACCAACTTTGGCACTCATGGCGTGATGTTTCGCATCCCGCTTGCGGCGCGTGGTCCGGGCCAGACGCCGAGCTCAAGAAACATTAGCACCAAAAAAGACCCCCTGTGCCTGAGGAGCAACTTTGAAACCTGCCCTTCCAACAGCCTTGCATGCCCACCTTGTATCAGCGAGATGAGTACAGGCAACAACCGATTTGGGGGATACCTTCAATTTGTGCGTTGCCAGGGCTGTGCACGTATCCACAATGCAGTCGCGAAGCTTGACTCGCACAGCTGAACGTGAGCCACGCACTTGTTGTGATGAGTCCTCTATCCAGACGCGATGATCAGCCATCGGATGTGCAACCACAACTCGCTTTAAACCAACATGTGTCATCGTACGTCCAAACCAGGTGCCAGATCGTACCCCCTGCACACAACTCCGTTGGCTGAAGGGGGGCCGACAAGGCCCCGAGCTGAACGAGAAATCTCGCACATTGCAACAACTCGAGGTATAATATCCTCTGAGGAAATGACATCTTCAAAGCAGCTCTAACAATATATGCCAATTCTATGGAGTCAGAGAATGGTTGAATATCGCGCAAACCATGTCCAACGTCGATCGTTTAAATGAAGCACACATCCTCCTAAATGGCTCGAATTGAAGCCTCGCGGAGACTGGAATTGCCGCGCGCCGCAGCGTCCCACCCCTCCTCCATGGCGTCAGTCCAGTCCCTGACGAGCGGCTCGCGTATCAAGGACCGTAGGCGCCCGAGGGGCGGGACCAGCCCTATGATCCTGTCCCCCGAGGTCTTCTTGGCGAGCATCTTCCCCAAAATCAGCAGAAGCCGCGCGGGCCAGCGCAGGCGCTGCTCGCGCGCCTCGAAAAGCATGGTGAGCTCTGCCAGCGCCGCGTCAGGCAGCCTTTCGATGTCGAGAGGTGTGATGAAGTCGACCCCCATGCCCGTGGCTGGCCGCGTGCGGCGAAGAGCTTCCCTGATGTCCTGCACCGTGATGGCTGGGAGCGGGTCGCCATCCGCAGCGGCCTGGGTGTCTGCGAAAGCGCCCAAGATGTCGCTCTCAGCGAGCGGCTCAGCGTTGATAGGTGCGGAGGCCGCTCCATTATCCTATAGTCTATAGGGCTTCAGGTGCTATAGGGCTATAGGTCCCAGGAAACAAGCGGGTTGGCAGCCCGATCGTCTCCACAGCTCGACGGGGCTGTGGGAGAGACTCTTGCCCTGTGGTTGGCCAGCCACAGTAGGTGCGGGCCCGCCGTGCCACCCCTGAGAGGCCCGATGGTGTTACTCGAAGGGGTCCCCCGACGTGGGGGGCGCGGGAACTTAAGTCCTTGGGCAGCGGGGTCTCCGCTGCTTGAGGCCGGCGGCCAAGTGGGGGTGGTGCCGGTGGCCGTGTCTCGGGGTGGCATCCCGAGGCACCTCGCAACGGCGGCGCGGATAACGCCGGGGGCGGTCCGTGCCGCCGTTCGTGTTGCGAGGTCCGACTGCATGTGAATCCGTGCAGGCACCTTGGGCACCTCCCTTCGGGTTGTGTCGCCCAGGTGTTCTGTCCGGGCACAAAAAAAAGCTATAGGGCTGTAGGTGCTCGTCCTTGGCGTCGGCCTGAGTCGATAGGTGCTGGGTCTTTGACTATTAGGAACTTCATGCGCGCGCGAGGGGTTCGCGTGGCCCCACTGGAGGCAACGTATGAAAAACTAATGGATTTCCTCAGAGCTCACCAGAACTCGCGCGCATACTTTTTCCCGGTTGACAAGGCATGTTTCGAAACCGTTGGGCTTTTACAGGTTTCCGGGAACCTCGATCTTGAAATCTTTACGACACCTATGGTTCTTAAGCAGAATTTCGGCATGCGCGTGCGACGACGCGCGCGTGTCGGCATTGTCACGCATGAGTTTTGATAAACGAGTGTGCGCAAATCGTATTACTGGACAGGGATGGGGGGCGGTAAGGGGTCTAGCAGGGCTGGTCTGAGATCATATTTAGAATGAGCGATGGGGCATCATCATACGTAGTTCGCACCATCCCACAATCGCACCATCCGAGTTTACTTATAGACATGGAGAACCTAGATGGTGCATTCTATCTTGTACAATATTGGTGGGGCAATCTACGTGGTCCAATTTATGTGGTGAAGTCTATTCCCCAATCATAGCTGGCCTCTGTAGGGGTCCTAACGGATTCATTCCCCAATCATAGCTTGCCTCTTTACGGGTCTTAGCATATTCATATGGTTAGGTGAGGTATGGCGCCGATTTCGGCGGCACGCCCAGGTGCCGGGGTGCCCAGTAGCCTTATAGCTCTATAGCCCTATAGCCCCATAGCCTTATAGCCTTATATCCTTATTGCCCTGTAGCCCTATAGCCCTATAGGCCTAGTGCCCCTAGTAGCCCTATAACCCTACAGCCCTAGAGCCCTATAACCCTATAGCCCTATGGCCTTATAGCCTTATAGTCCTATATCCCTATAGCCCGATAGCCCTATAGCCCTATAGCCCGATAGTCCTCATTGCCCTATAGCCATCCCATAGCCCTATAGCCCTATAGCCCCATAGCCCTATAGCCCAGTAGCCCTATAACACCATATCTCTATATAGCCTTATAGCCTTATAGCCTTATAGCCTTATAGCCTTATAGCCTTATAGCCTTATAGCCTTATAGCCCTAGAGCCCTAGAGCCCTATAGCCCTATAGCCCTGTAGCCCTATAGCCCTATAGCCCTATAGCGCCATAGCCTTATAGCCCTATAGCCCTACAGCCCTATAGCCTTACAGCCCTATAGCCCCATAGCCCTATACCCCTATAGCCGTATAGTTCCACAGCCGTATAGCCGTATAGCCCTATAGCCCTAAACAGACTTTTTTGGTGTACGGTATTATCTTGTTCGGTTAGGTGCGGCGCCGATTTCGGCAGCACGCCCGGGTGCCCTGGTTCCCGGGTGCCCGGGAGCCCGGGAGCCCGGGTGCCTGGGTGCCCAGGTTATAGTTCTATAGCCCTATAGCCCTATAGCCTTATAGCTCATAGTAGTCCTAAAGCAATAGCCCGATAGCCCTACAGCCCTAGAGCCCTATAACCCTATAGCCCTTTAGCCCTATAGCCCTATAGACCAACAACCCCTATAGCCGTATAACCCGATAGTCTTATAGCCTAGCAGCCCTATAGCCCTATAGCCCTACGGCCCCATAGCCCTATAGCCTTATAGCCCTATAGCCCTATACCCCCAAACATAGAGTTATAGCCCCATAGCCCTATCACCCTATAACCCTATAGCCCGATAGCCACAGAGTCTTGTTTCCCTATAGCCCTATAGCCCTATTGCCCCATAGCCCTATAGCCCTAAACTGATTATGATTGGGCCTTTCCTCCAGTCTCATGTTCTGCAATCCATGTTGTGCAATCTATTTGGTACAGGTTGTGTGGTGTAATCCATATGGTGCAATCTATGTGCTGCAACCTATGCTGTGCAATCATGTTGTGCAATCCATGTCATGGAATTTTCGTGGCGCAGAATATGTGGTGCAGAATCATGTGGTGCAGAAGATGTGGTGCCATCTATGTGGTGCGATCCATGTGGTGCAATCTACGCGGTGCAATCTGTGTTGTGCAATCCATGCGGTGCAAGCAATGGAAGGCGAAGAGGCGGCGACTGGGCGGCGACGGCGAGCACGGAGCCGCCAGACCGCCAACCAGGCCCAGACGACGGGCGGCGACGAGGCGGCGACGGGGCGGGAGCCGCCAGACCGCCAGCCAGGCAGAGACGACGGGCGGCGACGAGGCGGCGACGGGGCGGGAGCCGCCAGACCGCCAACCAGGCCCAGACGACGGGCGGCGACGATGTGGCGACGGAGCGGCGACGGCGACGCCAGCCAGGCCCAGACTGCGGGTGGCGACGATGTGGCGACGGAGCGGCGACGGCGACGCCAGCCAGGCCCAGACGGCGGGTGGCGACGAGGCGGCGACGGGGTGGCGACGATGAGCTACAAAAATCCTAACTGCAAACACTGTTTGGCGAAAGCTGCCGAAGACGGGCCAGGAAATTTGCCGGTTCGCTTTGTGTTGTCTAGGCCCTTTGAATGGTGCTTTGGGGCTGGCGCCCTGTTGGGCCTTCCTGCGTCCACCTTAGTTAGGCCTTCTGGTGCTCGTGTCCCTGTAGTCGTTTTTTTGAGCACTATTGGAGGCCTCTCGGGCTCTCTTGACCGTCTAATGGCGTCCCTATGGGAATCTCAATGCAACCTGTGTGGGTCAGGGGGCTCAGGTTACCACCCTGGGGACAGAAGACCGGAGGCATGAGACACCATTACGGCACCAGCACAGCAAGCACCCTCTCTGCATGGTGCCCTCAGAGGAGGCCAGCGGAGTCTGCCAGCTCTCGCCACACACACCCGAAAAGCACACCAGACCCCGAGCATGCAACCACCGAGAGTAACGTATCCGCGCTGTCTTTCTGCGAAAGGCAGACCCAAGTCACCGCTGACAGCAGCCGGCGGCGCAGAGTGGTTCACTTCGCTGGTGGGCCTCCGGCCACACAGTGTTCGGGAATCCATGGTGAAACGTGCTGCCCAAACGGTGGTATCATTTTCCCATGATCATGCGCCGTTTGGTGCGCATTGTTTCTTGTTTGCTGTCAACCTTCGAGAGAGAACCGACCTAATACACCTTTCCATCCCCCTCGCCCTTCGGGTCGCTCTCGTCCTTGCCTTCCGCTCTCGCCCCTGCCTCCCCTTCCCCTCCGTGTCTCTTCCCCTCCGCTCCCAATCTATATCCCCTTTCCTGCCACTTCGTTTCTCAGCCTTGAGCTAAAGATGTCCGCGGAAACGCGTCTCGATAGGAAACAGCGTCTGGGTTTAAAAACAATTCTGATCGCAGTTCAGGAATCATGAGGTCTTTGCGCTGCTATCTTTACTCTGCTTGATCGGTCTCTGCTTTCCTTTCTCCTTTCCCCCTTCCTGCCCCAGGGGAACAAACAATGACATACAGTGGAAACCCATGCCAAGAAACACCCTGCTTGCCTCCAGGGTGCCCTGGGTTGCTTGGGTTTCGATGTCGTTGCCGTGGAAAGAGTGACGTTCCCACACCAAACATCAATGGTCGCCCTGGGGTCTCAGGGTTGGGTTTCTTGTGCAGAGTTTCTTGTGGTCGCGCTCCTGCTGTAAACATCCCCCCCGCTCCCCTCCCCATCCCCTGCACCCAGGACGCCTCCAGAGGTCTCCGGAGGCTCTCGGGAGTCCCCGGAGGTCCCTTGGGCCTCGGGACCCCCGGAGGTTCCGGGGGCTCCCAGAGGTCCCTGGGGCCCCCAGAGGGGATCACAGACGCCGAAAAACATTGGCCTTCGATCCACGATCCTGCCTTCCCTTCCCTTCCCCTCCCTTCCCAGGGTCCCAGACCTCTGACGTCGTGATGGGTTCAGAACGGAATCCCTGATGAACTCTCGTCTCGTTCCGGGGAATTCTCGCCCCGTTCCTGGGAACGGTCCCAGAGCCAGACGCCAGCTCCCACGTTCAGAGAACTGGCCCTCTCCAGGGAGTGCGCTGTCACGGCAGAATTTCGAGGCGGGCCCAGCCGTGACCACGAGAAGCCGCCCGAAGGCCCAAGAACGTCCCAGAACGTTCAAAAACTCAGAGCCTCGATCCTCGATCCCCTTCGAGAAATTCGTTGTGACTACTTAGGTTGTTTAAACGGGAAAAACGCCAGAAGAAGGTTAAGAAGGTGGTCGAGAAGGAGGACGCTCTCACGCGCGCCGCGGTGCGATGTGACCCCACCCCCGCCCGGGTTGCACCGCGATAGGGGATCCGTATCCATGTCTCCAGGCCTCCCAGAGGGTGTCCGAGACTTTTGAGGCTGCGCAGTGGGCCGTCTGGCTTCCCAGACAGGCTCGCGCCTGAAAGTCTCCGTCCCCAAGACCGAGCCTCTCGCCTGTGCCGCCGGGGCCCCAAACACCGCTGGTGCGGCACAGGGGCCCTCCTCTTCTCGCGCAGCCTTCATCGGCTCGAGAAGTGAGTCTTCGGCGTGGCTCTCCCGAGGAGGCGCCGCACGAGCAGAAGCTTTCAGATGCCCGCGCGGATTTCTTGGGTCGGCGCTGGCCCTCCCCCCCTGGCTGGTCCTGCGGCGCCACCCCCGGGGGAAAGGGGGTCCAGTGCCGACCGAACACACCCGAGCGGAGCTGCGAAAGTCTGTGTTTGTGTGCTGCATTTCGTCCCTCATTGTCGGCAGTGCCATGGTCGGTGGCCCAAATGTCGGAGGTTGCCGGGTCCGACGATCGGAGCTTTCTCAATGCCTGCTGCTGCTTCCAATTCTGGACGCCAAGGAGGTCGTAGGGGGCATGGGTAGAATTTGCTCCAGGCGCCAGACCTTTCCCCATGTCCCCATTCTGGGCCCCCCGAGGGGTTGGGGCGGAGGGAGGGGCATGGCCAAAACGTCGATCGCCTACCAAAGGTGATCCTGGCCCAAGGCGTCTCCAGCTTTTTCCCTCGACCTTTGAAGCACCTTGGCTCCCAGGTGAGTTGTGCTACACAGAACATCCGCAGACATCCGATGTCTTGATTCTTCCAATGCGGAGTCTCTGGCAGCCCCGACCCTTTCCTGGAGCTCCCTTGGACGGCCCCCGAGCCCGAAGCGGGCCCACGGAGGCACATCCTTCGGCCTTCGATGGGGCCTCCTGAAGGCCTCCAGCTACTTCGGGGACCTCCAAAGGCCTCCGGGGACCCCTGGGGGCTTCTGGGGACCTCCCTATGCCACCTTGGGGGAGGGTCGGGGGGGGGCGGAGAAGCGCTACTCTTGCCGTTGCCGCGCTTGCTCACTTCCGCCTGGCGGCTGCAGGTGGGTAGGGTTCTTTGTTCTTCCAAGATTCCCAACGCCTTGAAAAATCAAGGCGGCATATGGGTCTTCAATTTCGGCCTCCGAGGGGCCGTTACCGGGTCCTGGGGCCAGACAGAAACACGACCCTGGATGAAGCACCGCCCCCAGCGAAGGGCTCGAGGTCCGTGGGGGCACGTCCAGGCGGGTCTGGTTGGTAGTAGGTCGACCTTGCAAAGCCTGTGGTGCTGGTGTGTCTTGCCTGTCGCGTGTAACGTCCTGGACCACGGGCTGCCTTCGGAAGGGACTCGTGTCCTCTCGGGTGTCCTCTGCAAATCGGTCCTGACCGTGCTGGGCGAGTCGTGCCGTCTGGGCTCGCAGCTGCTGGGCCTGGCTCGGACACGCGGCAGGCGCTCGCGGGCGCTCGGAGAAGGGCCAGGGACGTGCAGCTTCTGAGTTCCCTCCACAGTGCCCCCCAGGGCCCCCCAGGGTGTCTCCCCAGGGCTCCTCCAGGGTGCCCCCCAGGGGGGCTGCCAGCGGGGCCCTGGGGGGCTGCGAGGAAGGCCCCAGGGCGGGGCCCAGAGCGAGGGCGCCCCGAGGCGGGGGGGCACCGCGGGCTCTTGTGGGGGGGGCATCTCTGCTGGCGCCCGGCCTTTGCCCCCCTCACCGATCCGGAGGAGGAGGAGGAGGAGGAGGAGGAGGAGGAGGAGGAGGAGGAGGAGGAGGAGGAGGAGGAGGAGGAGGGGGAGGCCGATCCTGGGCCCAGGATCGGTGCACGTGTCTCCGTGGCCAGGCCCGGAGGCGCGCAGGCCGATACTGGGCCCAGGTCCACGCGCTGCTGCGCGTGGCCTGGCTGTCGGCATTTTGCGCGCGCGGTGGGCCGCGCGAGAGCCGACGGAGTCGGCAACGATGTCCGCGGAGGAGCCGATGGAGCTGGCATCGATGACCGCGCGGGAGCTGGAGGAGTCTGGCCGACAGGAAGCCCGTGGGCGGCACCAGGGGGGCCTGGGGGGAGGAGCGGCACCAGCAGGTGTGCCTCCTCCCCCTCCCACTCCTCCTTCTCCTCCTCCTCGTCCGCCTCGGCCCCCTCCGGCCCCTTCCCCCTCTTCCTCCTCCTCCTCCTCCTCCTTCTCCTCCTCCTCCTCCTCCTCGTCCTCCTCCTCCGCTGTGGAAGAGCCGGTGTAAAAGAAAGAAAAGGAGGAAGGCCGTGGATAGGAACCGCATATTCGGACGAACATTGCATGGCACACATCAGTAGCACTCCGCGAGGGCAGTGTGCTCGGCTTGCTGGACGACTGCCAACCGCCTCCAACTCGTATCACAAATGTACGAGGCGGGTGAACATATAGACCAGGGTTGAAACATCCCGTAAAGCTCAGCCCAGCACATGGCGACGCAATTCAGGAGAAGGGGTATACGAAGGATCAGGGTCAGGAAGATAATGATGAGGATGATGGTGATTCGAACGATGGTAATCAATGCTGACGCTGACGTTGCCGCTGACGCTGACGACGATGACGACGGCGGCGGCGACGACGATTATGATGACAATGATGATACAGATAATGGTGATGGATGATGCTGCTGATGATGCTGATGATGATGATGCTGATGATGCTGATAATGATGATGATGGTAATGATGACAATCCTGGTAATGTTGATGCTGCTGATGCTGATGCTGATACTGCTGATGCTGATGATGACGATGACGCTGATGACGATTATCAAACGACGACGGTGAAGATGCTGTTGTTGTGGGGGTTGTTGTTGTTGATGTTGTTGTTGATGTCGTTGTTCGTGTTTTGGTCTTGTTGTTGTTGTTATTGCTGTTGCTGCTGTTGTTGTTACTGTTGTTGCCGTTGTAGTTCTTGTTGTTTGTTGTTTGCTGTTGCTGCTGGTGTTGTTATGCTATTGATGTTCCTGTTCTTATTGTTGTCGTTGTCGTTGTCGTTGTCGTTGTTGTGGTTGTGGTTGTGGTTGTTGTTGTTGTTGTTGTTGTTGTTGTTGTTGTTGTTGTGGTGGTTGTTTGCTGTTGTTTTGGGTTGTAGCTTTGGTTTTTGCTGATGGTGAGGATGATGATGTTGAGGTTGCTGATGAGATGCTGATGCTGATAATGATGCTGATAATGATGCTGATGAAGAGGAACATGAGGAGGAGGATGTTGTTGATGACTGTTCGTTTGAAAGGGGAGCCGCGGGATGGCGACGGGGAGGATGATGAGGAAGAGGTGGAGGAGAGGATGGAGAGAAGGATTTTGAGGAGGAGTAGGAGGAGGGGTGAGGTGAGAGGGCGCGGGGGGAGAAGTGTTGGGATGAGGACGATTAGGGATGGAGAAGGGGGTGATGAAGAGGGGGAGGATAATCATGAGGAGGAGGAGGAGGAGGAGGAGGAGGAGGAGGAGGAGGAGCAGAAAGAGGAGGAAGGACAAGAGGAGAAGGTGAACCAAAGTAACCCCAAGATGCATCAACGTTGTGGGAATGCACCCTCCCGTCCCAAATCCTTCCTCATAAGTCCTTTAGAAGTCTGCCTTTTCACTATGGAGACCGCCCTTGAAGGACAGTCATCCGATGGGCCTGCCATTCAGGCGACAGCCACGGAACAGGTTTCGTTACATCCATTCAGCCAACAGTATGTAACGCGAACGTGTGTAATCGTACAATCGTACAGTTCAGCGGGGTATCCAGCGGGATTTTCATTTTGGGAAAGGAACGCCCCCATTTGTGGATTGTCTCGCAATGCCCATTTTGAAACGGAACGGTCCTCCATCCTTGTACCTGCTACAACCTTTCAAGACGAATCGGCGCGGCGCCAAGCCGAGAGACTCATTTTGAACAGGAGCCGCCTTCCATCTTTGTAGTTGCTGTAAAAGTTGAAAGAGCGCGTTCTGTGGACGCTTGGGGGAGGGGGTTAACGGGGGGGGGGCCTCCCCGTTGAATTGCAAGGTGGGGGGGGTCGGGGGGGTTCGAGCAGGTGTGGGGGGGGCCCTAAAGGGCGGGGGTGTTCGAACAAGGCCCCCCTCCCCTGAATTGCAAGATGGGGGATCCAAACCAGGGGGGTCAGCCCCCCTGCAACCGACGACGGCGAGCGCCAGTGCCAGCGCCAGCGCTGGCGCCAGTGCTGTCGGGCAGCGACGACGACGACGATGATCGAGCCTTTGTAGGATGCAATGAAGGCCGGATCGAGCCCCAGTAGGAGTCTATAATATTGGAGCTGGATCGAGCACTAGTAGGATTTGGAGTTTGGTCTAGCTGTCGTAGGTTTTCATCAGAGCTGGATCCAGCCTGACTAGGTTTGACTTGCAGCTGGATCCAGCTATAGTAGGGTTCTACTTGTGTTGGATCGAGCCCCGCGATGATACTGGATCCAGCGATGAGATGGTTCTGTCATAGCTTGATCGCGACCTCGTAGGATTCAAGTAGGGCTGGATCCAGCAATAGCAGGATTCTATTAGAGTTGGGTCGAGCCAGACTACGATGCTGTGAAAGTTGGATCCAGCCGTAGAGCAGATCCTATTAGAGTTTGATCGAGCACTAGTCGGATTTTGTTTGGGGGAGGGTCCTCCCCCGGTTCGAACCCCCTCGCTTCATGCATACGAGCGGGGGGAGGCGCTTCGAACCCCCCCACACTCTTGGGTTGCTTCGCCATTTAGCTTTCGAAGGCCCTGCTTGCATGGCTTGCACATCTCTCAATGCTAGTCCTCTTGCTTCTCTCATTCCTAGCACAACATGTAGCAACACATGTGAAACAAAGGCTTGGCAACGCCGCTAGAAAGAAAAACGCATCCACACTTCTCTCATGCACGATCTCTTTCAAGTCTTGGGCGGACCAATCAAGGTGAAGGCAAATAATGACGGCGCAACAGATCTACTGTTGCAGGGTCTTAACACATTTGCGCCACTGTTCGTGCCGCTTACCAACGTGGATGATCGAGGCCAGAAATGTATGGTACCCTTAGTTGTACTTCCTTCAATCTACCCTTCTCCACTGCCTGTACGTTTACCTGATCCACCGCCGCCACCCCAGTGCGCAGTGGAAGAGGTGCCAGGGCTTCCGATTTTTTTAGCGTACTAAATTGAGTCGAACATGCAGTGCCGACCCGTTTGTGTCAGCGCAGTTGGCGAATGAGCAATATCGTATGTTCCGCCTCTGATCGACCCGTCAGAACATGAGCAAAACATAGCAGAAAATGGCGTGGCGCACAGGGCCGTTGTTCCACATTCCTTAAGTGTTTGGGCTGGATTCCCATGGGCAGCCGCGTTTGTTATGGTTCCGACGCACTTCGCTGCATCATAAACTTCAGCAAACAAGTGCCGATCCAATCTACAACAGCTCCAGCGGGTAAAGACAGAACTGGCAACTCAGTTGACGCAGTTGCTATGGGCTCAGAGCCGACTGGGCTTGTTCGTTCAGCTGGGTGCGATTCTGTTGCGGGCGCGTCTCAAGCATTGGCTACTGTTGCAGATAGAATTGCAGACGCGCCTCAAGCATTTGACGCGTCCCAAACACTTGTTGCAGACGTGCCTCAAGCGTTGGATACTGTTGCGCATGCGGTTGCAGACGCGCCTCGAGCTATGACAAAAGCCGAGAAGATAAACTACGTTGCTTGTCTCATCAAATCGAAGGGAGAACCTTTGCTTGTGCAGTCGGCGCTCGTGTTGTTTCTGTCGCAGATCTCTCGCAGTCAATAGTATTAGATTTGACGTCTCAGTTCTCCATGCCGCGCTATGGAAAAACCATGTTTGTTTACCGCGCGTGCGTGGTGTCGCGGCTGTTGCCTTGTGTGACGTGCGTGGTGCGCACTTTTTTCATCGCGTGCGTGTGTTCTATCGTTGTCAGTGGTGTATTTGCTTTGCGTGCGTGGTGCGCACCGTGCGCGTGAGAGTGCTTGTTCTGCGTGGATCAGTGCAGCCAGCGCCGTGGCGACGCGCGGCCCGGCGCGCGTCTGGCGCGTCGTCCTCAGGAGGATGGGATGGTTGGTTTGTGGAGGTGGTGGGAACGAGCGGAGGGGGGGGGAGGAGAAGCTGCGCTTTCCCATTGTGTGCGTGCCTTCCCTGTGCTCAGCTCTACCTTCGGTGAGGGGCCATTTACGTAGAGCGCCCTCGGTGAGGGCAGGGGCATCGTAACATTGGCCCCTTCGAGATGTCCCGCCGCGCGGGCTTGCGGGCAGAGCGTGCGGGTAGGTGGGGGAGAGGAGCGATTGGAGGCAGGAGGAGGTGGGGGAGGACTTTCACTTTCTCATTGTCTGTGCTTTCTCTGTGCTCAGCGCTACCTACGGTGAGAGGCCGTGTAAGTGGAATACCTTGGGTGAGGACAGGGGTATCGTGTCATTGGCCCCTGCGCGATGTTCCACGGCGTGGGCTTGCAGGCAGAGCATGCTCGAGGTGGAGGAGAGGCGCAGAGGAGGAGGAAGACGTGCAGCTTCCCGTTGTCTGTGTTGTCTCTGGCTCAGCTCTACCTTCGGTGAGCGGCAGTTTAAGTGGAATGCCCTCGATGGGGGCAGGGGTATCATAGCACTGGCCCCTTCGCGATGTCCCACGGCGTGGGCTTGCAGGCAGAGCGCGCCGGGGATGGGGGAGGGGAGATGGAGGAGAGGGGCACGATTGGCGGAGGAACTCGCACTTTCCCATTGTCTGCTCTTTCCCCGTGCTTAGCTCTACCCGCGGTGAGAGGACGTCTAAGTAGAAAGCTTTCGATGAGGGCAGGGGCGTCGTGACATTGACCCCTTCGCGACGTGCCACTGTGTGGGCTTGCAGGCAGATCGGGGGGGCGGGGGGGGGGATATCAGACGTGGCGCGTAACTGTGCGCCGCGCTGGCGCGCAGGGCGTGTGGGGTGGGGGACGAAGCTGCGCTGGTGGCAACAGTGACGCCCCCCCAGGAACTGAGACGGCAAAGGGTTCTCCCCCCGAGGGGCCGACAAGAACCTGGGTGGCAGCCCAAGGATTGCCATTTTTATTAAGTTTGTCTGCCCGTGGTGTTTGTTCGCTTGGGGCCAGCCAGCGCAGCCCGTGCCGGCCCCTCGTCTCTTTCACGGTACCTCGTGCATTGTTTCAGTTAACAGAGTTTCACGGCAGCAAGTACCTTGATCTATGGATGGGGCCACGTGGTATGTGTTGAAGTGATGGGGTGATCTTCTATTGAGGTACTTGCCTGCCTACCAGGCGGGCGCCTATTCTTTATTTTTCATTCGTCGCCGGCTCATTTCCCAGCGCAGTCCGCGGCGACCGCCAGGTATTTCGCGCGCTGAGTCGCGTCTATACTGTCATTGCTGTCTTTCAAGAGCGCCACGGCTTGCAGGTGCGGTCGGATCAGCATTGGAGGAAGAGGGGGAGGGGGAGGGAGAGGAGGAGGGGGAAGAGGAGGAGGGGGAGGGGGAGGAGGAGGAGGAGGAGGAGGAGGAGGAGGAGGAGGAGGAGGAGGAGGGGGATGATCCAAGCTCCCCCTTCGTAGGCCCCCGCAACGGTTGATTTCCATTGAGGGAACTTCCTCGTTGGAAGGCAACTGGTTGAAGATCCTGAAGCATGCCAAAACATTGTTCTCAGGATTTATACGCCACGTATCAACTTGACTGCTGCGTCTGGACGATCCGGAATCGTGCCAGAGCGTCAGTCTTGGGACTTCAACACCGCGAACATACATAAATGTTACACCCGCATAATCCTGAATCCATCCAGAACGCCATTTCTGGTACGCTGATCAGGGGAATCCGTGGACTTCTTGCATTGCAAACATGTGCGCGGCGCTGGGGCGAGAACCACATTTTGAAAAGGCGTCGCCCTCAATCTGTGAAGCTCTTGCAAATTCTTGAAACGAATGTACGCAGCGCTGAGGCGGGAGCCACATTTTGAAAATGACCCGCCCTCAATCCGTGAAATTCTTGCAAATTGAGAAAAAGAATGTGCGCGGCGCTAAGGCGAGAGCCACACTTGGAAA